ATTCAATAGATAAGCCCCCACTGGGCCTGAACAGACCACTGATACTGCTGTTGGTGGATCATGCATATTCAAGGAAATCGTCGAACCATGGCACAACGGGGGGGGGGGATAGGAAGCAGTTGGGAAGGGGAAGGTTGAGGGACAGGAATTGGTGCCGCGTTTGGCCCCGACTGCGACAAACGAGTTACCAAATTAGTAATGGTAGAATGTTGATGGACCAAAGACATAACTGTGAAGTGTTGGAAATAATGTTAAGAAAAATATAAAAAAATGAAAAAAATAAACCACTTGAAGGTAACTGAATAATGTAAAAAAGAATGTCTGAACTCGACAGCTGCCAAATGAGAAGTGATAGTTCTGTAATGACGTGTAGAGGGATTCACATGTGTCACGTGATAATAGTGCTTTCCTATAGGTGGAGAGGTGACGCATGATGATTTGCATGAGAAACATGTTGGGACTTTGGATTCCAATAGAGGGAGGATGAAAACTTGTGGTATGCATATCTGAAAAAAGTTCGCATATAGAGGGCAGCACAAAATGAGAAAAGCTAATGTTGTGAGTGGAGGGAGAGTACGTTATCAGAAACTTATTTTAGAATTTGAATTATAAACTATATTTTGATTGATAATAAAGTTAATTAAATTTTGAGTGTAACATGTAAAAGGGCATGATATGCACACTTTGACCCAGCTATGTACATAAAAGTAAGAGAAAATAAGAGTGAAATATTACCTAATTATCTTTCATAAACTATTGAGATTTGCCATAAATGGATCACACTTTCTATTGAATAATACTGAAATCATGGTGTATCTATGTAATCAGTAATGGTATGATGACTATTTGTTCCTCTACTTTAATGAAAAAGTGTGATTGAAAGAATTTGTTGTGAGTTTCAAGCCCATATAGTATTTAAGCTTTGTTCATGATACTTTTTTCCTCTTTAAAAATCCTGAAGATATCAAACAGTGCTTGTAAATGATCATTCTCACACTTGGGCAGTTTTTATCACCCCAATAATTTTTCTTACAAGTTTCCCTTCCCATGACCAGTCATCAATCACATTCACCAACAGCCACTAAACTGAGCATAACTTAGTCCAAACTTTATGTTCAATAGACACATAGTTATGATTTTCATGTAAAATGTGCTCAAGTTCAAACCAAAAGTATACATATAAACAGAAATACCCTAAAGTTTCAAGAAAGGGTATGTATTTACTGTAAGGTTGTAGAAATTGAATATTCAACCTATCATCTAGTATAAAGAGAATTATCACCAGATAAAACAAGAAAGTGGTTTACCAAGGTTATGTTAAAATAAAACTTGGACAGAGCAACTGCATAGTTTCTGTGCACATGCAGGTTAGGGTGCATCGAATTTACTTAGTCAAAAATTTTATTTTGTAATTGCTAATCAGTAGGGTGTCCAATAATTGCCTCTTATAAGAATTAATCTTATGCAGAAAGAAACTCCTTCAATTATATCTTCAACTGCCGCAAGTGAACTAATGTTTGAAAAAAACATGTATCATCTCTCCACCAAATGAAATAGTTAATCAATGACTTGTTTGGATTATTTTGCTAATATTGAACTTTCTACATCGAAATCACTAAATCCTAAAATAAATAAACAAATGAGGACACTGCTTTTAACAGTATTGAGAGAAGCTGACAGGTACTGTATTTTAGATAGAGCTGCTCCTGCAGCCCTTACCTCAGCTCTTTTGGAAGATATGGGCAATATTCAAGAAAATGACAATGCTAAAATTATTGATAAAAACAAGATATGACGTGAACGAGAAAAATTACTGACTTCTGATGAATCAAATTGTATTAAATCTATCTACTTCGATGATAGAAAAGATAAATTAAAATTGCCATCTTTAAAAATGGGCAAAAACATGTATAAACATGTAATCATGGAACAGCACATATCTTTGGTCAGTGAATATGAATCAATTTTCATGGATCACATTTCTCCTTCTTTCGGAACATCAGAAGTATATAAAATTCTATCATTCAGTGGATTGAAGATAACAAAATTTCATCTGATCATTTAGTCACTGGAAGCTGTGACAGTACATACATCAATACTGGAAAAAGTTGGAGTTATGCAGCTTCTTTAATTGCTATTTAGGAAGACCTGTTCATTGGTTAATTTGTTTCTTACATGCCAATGAGTTATCCTTGCATCATTTAATTACGCATCTTGACAAAGTAATTCTAGGACTGTCTGCTTTTTCTGGTCCTCTTGTAAAGAAACTGAAGACTTGTGAATCATTGCCTTCAGTAAACTTTGTTTCAGTTGAAATTACAGAGCCATTACCAAAAATTGACCATCCTTAGTCAAAAATATTTGTATGATATGTGCAATGCGGTAGTGTCAGGTCATTGTTCATAAGAACTTGCTTTACATGATCCTGGTACAATGAACCATTCTCCCTGGTTAACAACAGCAAACAGTATTTTGCACCTTCACATCACAACTGCTAACCCATCCAAGAAGCTTAGTTTGTTAGTGAGATATGTAACTGAAGTGTATGCAACAGATGGGTTAAATATCAAGAAAAATCCCTCATGCAGCCATGGCTCACTGCACCTTTTACTATTTGTAAGAAAATCAGGTTTTCTTCCTGAATCAGAGAAATATGTAGTGGATAGAGTAATCCGGAGAAATGCATATTTTGCCCATCAGGAAAATTTGCTGCTCGCAATGCTTGGAGATGATTCTAAGGCTATCAGACAACTTGCTCTTCATAAAATATTAGCTGCTCAATCTACCTCAAATTCTAGCACTAGACAGTTTATGGTTCTACATATTAATATGGAAGCTTAACATTACACTAATCTAATAATGTAGACTGAGTGTAGAGCCACCACTTACAAAAAATATAAGCAATAAACAGGTGGTGTCTTTCATCAATCAAGATGACACACCAGTTTTCAAGTTCAGCATGCTGCGTCACACACAAGCAGTTGAAAGGCATGTTAAAATAGTAGCAGAAGATTCAGCAGCTGTTTGTGGTTATCACAGAAGAAAGGGATTCATTAAAGCACAACTTCAATCTCAGAAAATCATGAGAACATTTAATACTAAGAAACAATACATAATCCAGTAATCCTATTGCCCAGTGGAAGGGTGGACTACCTCCTCACGGTGAGTTCTGGGTAATTTAGGATATAAAACTCCTGAATTAGCTAAATGTTGCATATCCAAAGTTATGGTACATTGATTTTTCATATACTTTGATTATGGATATTTTCAGGAAAATAACCCCCTCGCGGCAGTAAAAAGATATAATTTTATATGCCTGAAACTTACCCACATAATTACTACTATAAAAAGGCACCATTCGCATACCCTGCCGATAATGATATAACAAATTTATATTTTCGATGCACCCTAATACAGATTCTGATATAAAAAGCAGGACACGATCTTCATTGACTTTTTTCAGGAGTTGGGATTTTTCAACTTACACATTACAAGTCTTACTGATCAATGGATTGAAGCTAAAACTTAATAAAACAAGTTTGGCAATTAATCTAATATTAAAAGTACTTAGGAGTAATATATTTATTTAATTTATAATAAAGGATCAACATATCAGAACATCATTAACACTTATTATTACCTAATTCATACCACTAGCAAGATTTCTTAACTTTATATATTCTGTTTGATTTTGCTTATTATCTTAAATTATATTCAAATGTTATATCTCACATAAATATCAAATACAAAGCTAGATACATTCCTAACCAGTGGCCAATAGCAAAGAAATGATTACCCAAACTGTTTACAGCAATCAAATCCTAAATTATTTTAAGACTATATAATACAAGTATATGTGTAGTTTTTTATAGCTATATAAGACTGCTAAAATTTATTTTAATTCAAGGTTAGTAATAAGTGCAATTAATGTTTCTAAGTTATTTAATACTTTATGTGACCTAAGTAATAAAGGATGGTTTGTGACAGTAACAAATTAACTTACCAGACTAGTTGGTCATTATACAGGAAAGCAGTGTACTTGATATGGCTGCAAGAGATTATTATTGTTAAATGGTAGTAAGACCAACATAAATATCTTTATACCAACAAATCAAAATGGCTAACTTAAATTGCCTGTACATGTTTTCAATTAGAACTGTGTTTGAATTAAAACATAAATTAAATCATATTTCTTTAGGAAGGTTTTTAGTGATAAATACTAAAAATAACTTTAATTAAATGGCTTATAACTGTGCTAATTTTTTTTATAAGAGACTTTCACAGAAAAATTATAGATAGAGTGGAAAACTATACACAGAAATATAAACATACCTCTTTTTACACATATGTACTTTCAATTGGACATTGAATAATGAATAATGACAAAATTAATAAACAAAGAAAATTTTTTCTCCAATCTCCTACGTGACAGGCAGATATACAATAAAGAGTATGCTGTTCTACTGTGTTACACTCGAGCTCAGCATCATTGTTTGAAAACCGAGTCCAACCAATACATACATGTGAAATCACAGAGCAACAGTTTTGTGACTTAGAAAACAAAACAAGCTTCATTGATACTAACAAATCAAAACAAAATTAAGGTAATTAAGCTTTTACACCAATGCATTGCATTTTTATGTGAGAAATAAAAATGTTAGATTGATCTAATAAATTAGAAACCCCCCTCCTTTCAAACATTCTGAGTACGGGCCTGTATACACACACACACAGATATGATACATACACTTTTATAAGTGGACAATTTTGTCACTGTCACATATTTCAGAAAGATTGTTCACATCTTTCTAAGTAGCCATTGTTATATCTAATAATGTTGAGCTAGAATGTGTTCTATTCTGGTAAAAAAAGGCATCTAACCTATACAAAACCAGCATGTGTCATGTCATGCTTGCTTTCTCTAAATAGGAGGAGTCATAAAAGCCAAAATGCACTTATCCAGAGAGAATAGTTCAATTACTGTCTGCCCATTATGATTTTAGTGACAGGGGTGCAAGTGGGCCATGAGGGGGGTAGGTGCCATAAAACCTTACAAGTGTAGTGAGTGTAGGTATAATAAACCTAAAGTAAAAATGTCGGGATCACCCAGCCTAGAGCCAAATGCATAAAATTTATCATGAAAGTAAAAATATTGATTCAATATTAACTCTAAGTTAAGAAATCAACAAATATTTTTCCAGTTTTGTTGTCTATACATTCTATTTTATACTTTCAGTATATAGACTAACAACAATAATAGCCATTGTTGGAATGTAAAGTTACCAAAATGCACTGGCTTTTCTATATATATAAGAAGTTGTTAATCTAACCAATTTTTACGATTAATTATTCTATGAATATACCACAAATTCATTTCATGAATGATCTTAATTTTGATTGGCTTACAAACCAGGCAGATGAAGTCCCACATCTTGTAATTGGAATATAGTGCTGTGGACCCAAATCAAGATCCAAGGTGTAGGGACTAGGGCATGAGAACTGCTTTGTATTTGGTCTTGATTGGTAATTTGGCAGTATTGGCAGGCCTGGAGTGAGTGCCCTCTTGCTTGGAGACATAAGAAACAACAATGGAATTGACTGAGTGAAGCATTACTACGTACCCTCACAAATATTCGAGACATAAGAGACAACAATGGAACTGTCTGAGTGAAGCATTACCATCTTCTCTCACAAATATTCGAGACATAGCTCATTGAACTACTAGAAACTAAAATACTGATGTGGAGAGGAGATTCCTCCTCTGTCAAGAGGCTCTTGAATTTCATCTCTCCTACACAAGTTCCCCAACCCTGGAGAGATGCATCCACGAAAAGATGTACCTCTGGACTCGGGGGTGGGTTAGGGACACCTATTGTTCTGTTGTCCCTATTCAACCACCAGCCAAGATCGAGTCACCAGACGATCTAGTGAATCCATGCAAACGTTCCATTGGTCTTATAACAACAACTGAATGGAATGCATTTGGGCCCTACCTAAAGGAATGAGTGATTCCAAGGATGCCCACATCCCTAAAAGAGATAGAACCACATGCACCGGTGGAGAAGGAGATGACTGTATTAGAATAATGGTATTTTCTAAGGCCTGAAGGCATAGAGGAGAAGGCTGGGCCCAACAGAGATGTGAATTGAAAAATACCCCTAAATGGATGAGGTACTGTGTGGGAGTAAGAATAGACATCTCCTTTTCATGATAAACTTAGCTCTTGCAGCTTCAGACAGAAGAGCTTGAATGTGAAGATCTGCTAAGTAGTGGGAAGGAACGAGAAGAAGCCAGTCGTCCATATAATGGGGAATGGAATGTGAATGCCCAATGAGTGAAGATGATGTGAAAAGGATCTGACTATCTGGCAAAAGACATGTGGGGCTGATGCGAGGCCAAAATGTAGAATGTGAAACTGAAAAACATGTCTCTCATGCACAAAATAGAGATAATGACACATGATCAGAATATGAAGATAGACATTGCGACATCAAACTTTTTCATCCATAGAGCAGGTGCAAATTGCCACCAGAGGGAAAGAAATGACTCCACAGTAAATTGAGGAGGCTGAAGGAAATGACTGAGATGATTAAAGTTGATGACAGGTCATCAATCACCCATCTTCGTCGGTACTACAAACAAACGGAAATAAAAACCTCGAGAGAGGAGCCGGTGCAATCGGTGGCTTCTTTGTGCAGGAAATTCTGGATAGCTTTTGCTCAACAACTCGATATAAGACAATCCTTGGGGAGGGGAAAGACAACTAATATGATAGACAATGGAGGGGGAGACGTGAAATGAAGGCCCAATCCACTCGCAAGAACCTGAATGACCAACTGATCAGTAGCAAACTGCCGGAGTCAAGCCCCACAGGACTGGACCCCATAGGGTAGTCACTGATGCAGTTGTTGGCACACCAAAAGTGGAGGATACTTGTTGATAATTGTTGAATATCTTTTGTGTTCCGATAGAACATGGAGCTGATGATGGAGATCTGGAAACCCGAACAGAAGATGCAGGAAACTGCCTGGTAGAATACCAGGAAAGGTGAGAGGCCAGTGTTGAAAGGGAAGAGTGGTGATGGGCCACATCCACCCAAGATTCCATGGAATCTGGAATACCTTCAAAAATCGATTGTCTGAGAATAGAAGCTTCTCTGAGATCTTTAAGGGCCAAAGAAGGATGTCAAGTGCCCTCAAACAAGGCATCTCTTTCCCAAAATCTCAGCAACAAACCAAACGAGAGACCAAAGAAAGAGCAGAAGCTGATAACTGTACCAAAGTAGAAGTCAATAAATGACAAAGATTCTCTGAAAATTGAGCAGGAGACCTGTGATAGGCCTCAGACAACAGTTGTAAAGAAGATAAATGCAAAACTGTTGTAAGGGACAGATGAATATGGGAAACTGCGTAAGGTTAAAACAAACAGTGCCATCAGGCTAGAATCCCAGATAGGGAGAAGAGGATTTAACTTCCAAGAATCTAAGTATGGATCCTCCAAGCAATGGAAAGCTAAGGCATGCTAATGTGATATACAAGGAGGGCAAGGCATGACAGCACCCTCTCTCAATTGATCAACAAATCTCTAAGCATGCACAGCAATGTCTGGCAATAGTGGAAAGACTAGGTAAACAGCCAAATAATCATCCCCCAACAAAAAAGGAGAAAAGTTGTAAGCCACAGGAGAAATGCCCGAGACATTACAAACTTGATGTACTAGGTGTGCATGAGAGATTTGACATCCTACACTGAAAGGGGGCCTCTCCCCAACACTCAGACAACATCAGACCCCAGAGGTGGCAGATCAGGAGCACTAGGAAACTCCTTGTCATAGACGTTAATTTTATTACATTTTACTTTTTGGAAAATAGATAATAAACTCAAAACCCAATAAGACAGGCAAAAAAAAAAAGCTTAAAGTGTAGATATAACTAAAGTTATACAACACATAAGAGAATCCTGCAGCAAGCCCGCAAACCCATTCGTTGTAACGTTTTGCCATTGGGAAAAGTGAATAGGAAGTACTAAAGGAAAGTTTACATACGGATCTAGTATAGGGGCCGTTTTGACATTGGAGGAGTGTACCACAAGATTTAAATTGCTATGTACAATATAGTGGGGTATAAGGGCTGGAGCAACCGGGGTAAGATTCACACCAATGCTTAGATGGGCAGAGGAGACAAACTAAAGCTAAAGTGTGAAAGGAGATAAGTGTGTTTCGGAATTTAGATTATTATTGAAAGTTGCAGTCGATATTAATACTTAGTGGTGAGAAGATGGGAGGACATGCATTTCTGAGGTAAGTGCCTGTTTGAAATTCATTTTAATTTTAGAAATGTAAAATTTAAATCAGGTAGACTTACCTCTAAAATACTGAAAACAAGAAAACCAACACTGTGAAGGAAGTAGAAACTGATGAGCATGAAAGAAACAAAAATATAAAACTACAAGCTACAGGGCAGGAATAATCTAGGCTACAAGTAATATGTAGCAGGTAGAATTAAAGTAGAATCTATAACCAGAAAAATAACTTGAAGAACTGGACTTGAGGAAGAATGAGTGGATCAAACCAGCCTTATAAAAAGCATGGACCTAAAGGGCACTCATAAAGGTAATCTTCTTAGCAGGGTATCTCTTAGCCCAATATGCCCTATAAAGGTCAGTTTTGTGACTTATTGAGCCTGTGAGGTGAACAATGGAACATAGATACTGGCATAAACAGGAATACTATATCATGCTTCAGCAGTGGAAAGTTCTCAGGGGAGCATCCCAGACATGTATTAAGAAAGGACAAACTCAAGTGGCAGAAGACCATTTTCATCCATATTAAAAATGGCCAGTGAGTTACATAACTCATCAAATTAGTGGGCACTCAGGAATAACTGAAGAAAGAATCAAGCTGTCCCAAAGTATGGGCTCAATAACATGAAGAAAGTGCAATGGGAAAGCATAGATAATACCTATCCAAACAGCTAGTGATAATGGTAGTCACTTTCCCAATATTTCTAATGCCATGCAAAAATGTGCATGCAGAGGTCATAAAGGAACT